TTATTTACTTGTTACTATTATAAATACTCTTATTGTTACCTGTCAGTATTAAAACCACATTTATGAATGCTATTGGGAGTTCTTGTCAATAACTTAACTTCTGTCACAGACTCCAATTCCTACCAATAAATAAATAAACCATGCCCATATTATCAATAAACTACACCCACCTCACACATCTGAGCAAGCGTCTCATCAAACACTCCTCCTGCATCGTCTGCCCCCTCACCAATGAGAGTCACTTTCCACGACCTTTGGGCACATAGCAAGTTCACTGGATCTTTCAATAATAACTGATTAGCAATTTGAGTAAAGACTGGTAATAAAGGCTTATTACTACAGAGGGAGGGGAAGAGAGAATGAGAGAGAGAGAGGGAGGGAGGGAGGGAGGGAAACAGGAGAAAGAGATATACATGTAAGCAAGGAAAAAAAGAAGAAAGAGAAAGGGAGACAGAGAGAGAGAGAGGAGGAAAATAAGAAAAATTCTCACTATATAAAGGTTACATTATGCACTCCCTTACTCTTTCTGAATCCTGTGTATGACCACACCAGGCCCATGACTACCACTTCTCATGGTCTTCCTCAATACAGTACCAATTCATCATTGATAATCTCAAGGTTAGTTTCCATTGGGAGACTCACTGATACTTTATGTACTGTTATACTAGCCAATCTACCATCAATTAAACCAACCTTGAAATGGGAAGACATCAATTATTATTGTTATTATTATTGTTATTAGTATTGTTATTATTATTGTTATTAATGCATGTCCTGTATTGTATCTGCCAACAGTCATTATCATTGTGTAATTTCATTTAATAAACATTACTATTATTACATGTATTATAATTACTAGTATTATCATTATTATTATTATTATTATTATTATTATTATTATTATTATTATTATTATTACCAGTAGTATAGGTGGTTCTGCTGCTGCTTCGTTTGTCCTCCATTTCAAGTCAGTGATCAAATTAGGGAGAGTAACGCTAACACAAGAACTGTCTCTTACCCTCCAAATACTAACCACCTTACCACAAGCAAGAGATATACAAGTTTTATTACACTGCAAGGAGAGAGAGAGAGAGAGGAAAAGTGAGAGAGGAGGGAGGAATGGAGGAAAAGATATAATGAAAAAAAGAGATAAGAGAAAGGACAAAAACAGAATAAAAAGATCATAGTAATTATTTATTAATTTTATTGGGGTGAGCCTGAGCCAGCCCCACATAAACGACAACAGTATGTCTGTTTGTACACGTATGTCACCCTTATTTATGTGTTTTACATTTAATTCTAAAACTGGTAGCAATAATTCAGCTCCTTCATTCTTCATTGCATCATTCATTGGTAATACAGTACTAGTGCTATCAGTAGGAGGAGATATGGTCCATGATCTGAGAGTGAAATCCTCTGAACTATAAGAGAGAGAAAGAGAGAAAGCATGTACATGTACATGTAGGTCACATGAATGATTCCTTACATTGTATAAAGTGTGTTATTACTGGTGTAGTATCTATTGTTCATTATTTGTCCAGTGTGACCTTTTAATAACAATAACTGAGTAGGAGTAGGACACCCTATTAGGAATAAGGAATGAAAGGGAGAGGAAAGATGATAATGACAGGAAATTTCACATTTTTCTATTCCCAACTATCTACATGTACATGTACATGTACCTCTCCCTACTTCTCTCATATCATTTATATTATTCTATTATTATTATTATCATTATTATTATTATTGTTGTTGTTGTTATTATTGATTACTAACTATCTTTGTTTGCTGTTTTCCTCCCGCTGTTGGTTGATGTTATTTGTGTGAATATTTTCAGTAATTGTTTGAGCGCCCAGAACCTGTCATTGGGTTGTAGTTTTGATGAGAAGATACAAGCAGCTAATGCATCAGTCATACCGGATAACTCATTTACTGATCTATAAAAACAATGGAGAGACATAATAGAGGGAGAAAGAGAGACAAAGAGGAGTAAAGTTATATGCAGTACATACAATATTTTTATCCATACAAGATCGATACACATTATAAATTACAAAATAACAAGAATTAGTTTCGCTTGTCCTAAACCATGCATTTTTCTTAATTATGCATTTTTTTATTTTTAGTTTAGTACAATCAGGTGCGGTACACATGTAAAAGCTCTAGAATGTGATTATGCACCTGTAAAAATAGTAGAGTAATGATATTATCTATGAATATTCATAGCCTCATAAATCAGACCACACAGGGACAAACCCTGGTGTGTACGTGTTTATATACATGTACTAAATACTAATAGCTAATTAAGTGGAAGATTTATGATGAAATTCTTGGCAGGGTCATAAATATTATCAACTGTCTAACATATACAAACAGGTATGATTGATGTATGTCAATGGAGAGCAAGTATTGGACTGTGGAACTACTGTCAAGCTGCCTCCAGTAGACCAGCTAATGGCCACCACTCTCACTCATTCAAAGCTTCAGTAGACAGCAAGTCAGGCAGTACTACATCAGAAGAGAAGATATCTAAACTGCCAGCAGTTCTGTCTCTTATTGCTTTCCTCCTCCTCCTCTTTCACTCTCTCTCTTTATTGAGATGCATCTTGATGATTCCTCCAACAGGTAAACAACAATTGCAACTTTGTACTTGTATATTTACTGGTATTTTATTATTAGGTAACTGCTACCAAGTACAATGTAGATCTACTACTAGTTTTACTGCTACTGATGTCAATTACCTCCAGTCAGTAGTCTTAGCTGGAGGCAGCAGTTCTAACCTGATTTATAATAATCTCTATTTGATTGTTTGTCTACGTATGCTCCTCCTCTTATCAGGAGACGTTGAATGCAATCCTGGCCCTACAATTGATGATCGACCTGATACTTTACTATTAATTCAATGGCTTGAACCACTTGTTGACTGGAAACGATTTGGTTTATTTTTAGTTGAAATGAAAGAGCATGACATCTTAAAAATTGAGCAAGAAAACATACATTTACAAACTGAACATAAAAAGTTTGCATTATATTCAAAATGGTTGTCAGTCAATCCTAAAGCAACATGGAGAGATGTCATTGATGCTTTGGAAAATATAAAAGAGAATACATTAGTTCAAGATATTAAAAATTATATGGACAGTGATGCTGCCTCTACAGTATCATCATTATCACCAAGGATATCAAATTCAGATGGTAAGTTACAGTGGTGTTACAATACCTGGCAAAACAAACAATGCCTATAAGGCTAGGCAAATTATGCTAGCATAATTTGGAGCATAATGGGGCGAGTATAATGGGTCAAAAATTTCTGCTCTATACTGACCACATGATTTCAATTCAATATGGCAGATGGTACAAGTACTAGTACAACAACCCAACTGTTTATACCCGCCTACTCAAGCATTGCAAGTCCAATGACTTAGACTATTCTATTTTCCAGTGACTCGAAGTCACTGGAAACATTTTTAGACTCTGGCATCGTGACAATATTATTTTTTAAACAGATACATGTATATGTAACTTGATAGCTAGTCGATATTTGAGTAAAGCTTGAAATATGAGAATAATTGAATTCCTTTCAACATAACAGGGTGGAATTTGCAGCAGTAACCATATAGGGTAAAAATTGAAGCATAATTTGCCTAGCCCTAATGCCTAGTTGTAATTGACTAATCAGATTACTCAATTTTAGGCTCATAGCTTAGTTTACCGAGAGTTTAAGTAAATTCTAGGGGGGTAAATAAGTAGCCCAGGAGGTTAATACATGGTAGAAGTTGGTTAAACAACTCTGTGTCTGTATCTATTGCCTTATCAACCTCAGGCCTATGGCTCTTGGTATGATAAATGCAATAGATACCTCCACCTCATTGTGTAACTTATACGTATTTTACAAAAAATTTTTCCTCCAAAATTATCTCTCATATGGTATTAAATATTATATTTATATTTTAGGAGATATTGAAATTATATTTTTTCCAAAAGAAGAACAGAAAGTTCAAGACTCTTTAGATGAATTACAAGTAAAATTCTCTCACATCATGATAGAAATAAAATCAGTTATTCGTATGAAAGTAACTAATAATGATGAACTCCCGACTAAAATATCCAATTGGGTAGAGAGTCACCTTCATTTGGAGCCTGGAACAGTAGATAATGATCTAGGTGATATTTTCAAAAAGATTTATTTTTATTATGATTTCAGTGATTGTAGCTTGATAGTTGCTATGTGTGATGAGTTTATAAGTAATAAGAAAGATCTACTTGATGAACTGAAGGCTTATTCATTAAAAGCTAATGCATTTCGTTCATCAAGGCCAATTATAGAACTCAAACAAAAGCTACGGAAAGTGTATGGACCTTATAGAAGACAATTAGAGAACATGCCATTGATATGTATTGAACTTCAAAGTCATTGGGATAAAGTTAAAATCAATACATTAAGAACTCTCATTAAAAGTTTACTCCCAGAAGAACTTAGACAATCAGTAATGAAGTGCATCACTATTGAGGAAGGATGTGTCATCATCAAGTTACATATTCTTAATTCTACAGCTGATAGTTTAATACAATATAACAGAAGAAAGTTAGAGTTTATACGTCTCATTGGTATATTTAGTTTGTACATTAACGCTCATCCAGTCCTTCAAGACGATGAGAATACAAATTTTACCTTTGAACTAGCTCTCCTTGAGGCAGTCACAGTCGGTAATAATAAAGCGGTGAAGTTTCTTCTTCAACTAGAAACTATTAATATTGATCACACTAATGAGGAAGGCAAGACAGCACTAATGTTAGGTTGTCAAAGAGGACATGAGGACATTGTACACAGTTTATTGTCTGCTGGAGCTAATGTTGACATACAAACAAGTAAAGGAAGGACTGCACTAATGATAGCAAGCAAACATAATCATATTTCAATCATTCACTTGTTACTACAAGCTAATGCTAATCCTCACCTAAAGACTTCGAAAGGAATAAATGCTTTAGTGATTGCCAGTTACCATGGGAACTATGAGGTTGTCCAACTGTTAATTAGTGAAGGAGTTGATTACAAATATCAACAAGAAGATGGTTGGAATGCTCTTCTCTTTGCTAGTCAATATGGTCACACTCAAATAGTTGCCTTGTTGCTGAAGGAACAAGTTGATCCTAATGCTCAAAACAATGATGGAATAAATGCTCTTATGCTAGCTTGCCGAAATGGCCACTCACAAATTGTTGAACTATTGCTTAATGAAGAAGTTGATCCTAATGTTCAAAACAAAGATGGAAAGGATGCTCTTATGCTAGCTTGTCAAAATGGTTACTTCCAAATAGTTGAACTATTGCTGAAAGAACAAGTTGATCCAAACATTTTAAACAAAGATGGCTGGAATTCTTTAATGGTAGCTTGCGAATATGGTCACACCCAAATAGTGAAACTGTTACTGAATCAAGGTGCCCAGCTTTTTCTTTTGGTTGATCCTAATCTTCAAAATGAAGATGGGTGGAATGCTCTTATGTCAGCATGCAACAATGGTCATAGGGAAATAGTTAAACTGTTGCTAGAGGTAGGAGCTGACCCTAACTTAAAACATAGGTCAGGATATACGGCTCTGAAGTTTGCTCGTGAGAACGGCCATGAAGAGATAGTTGATTTATTACCTATGCCTCGATTAAGCATGATACAGTCTGTTTGTGTGTGTATGCGTGCAGCATAGCCCATAAAATTCCTAAATAACTTTTATTCGTGTGTAATGTTTTATCATAATATTTAAATTTCATTGTGTATTGAATAGAATATTTTCAATTATAAGAACAAAATGGAATATTCATAATCAACCTACACATGATGGTTCTTAAGGAGATGGGCTAGTGGGCTTGCACAAATTCAGTCCTAAAGTACTTTCATATGCATGCAAAATGCCTTCTATGTGCAAGATAGTTGTAATATATGGGTCCATGGGTGTAAAAATTTGAAGATAATATGGAGATGAGTATAACTTAATTTTAGAAGCAGGAGAGAGAGAGATGAGAGAGATAGGGAGGGAGAAAGAAAGAAAAAGAGAAAGAAGCAAAAGAGAGAGAAGTGGAGTAAAGTTACATGCATAATGACAGTACATGCATTATATTATTGTCCATATCAAGATGCACACACATTAATGATTATAATTACAAAAAAGTAGACTATTCCCTTATCCTGTTTTGTACAGTCATGTGTGGCATTATACATGATAAATCAAATGTATTTATATCATTTTTACAAGTAAATGAATACTTTCATAATAAACAGACCACACACAACCTACTGGTATCTATAGCAACTATACACCAAACTACCTCTGGCCCTAGCTTGCACTCTGTGACTTTCTCTCTCTCTCTTACAGTAAATTACTAAATTTATTGGTAGGGACATAATCAGTATACTGCCTAACCTTTCTTACTCTTACACTCAGTATTGTTATACAAGATGATTGATGTCTCTCAATGGAGAGCAAGTATTGGACTGTGGAACTACTGTCAAGCTGCCTCCAGTAGACCAGCTAATGGCCGCCACTCTCACTCATTCAAAGCTGCAGTAGACAGCAAGTCAGGCAGTACTACATCAGGAGAGAAGACATCTAAACTGCCAGCAGCTCTGTCTCTTAATGCTTTCCTCCTCCTCCTCTTTCACTCTCACTCTTTATCAAGGCACACCTTGATCATTCCAGGTAAACAACAATTGCAACGTTGTACTTGTATATTTACTGGTAGTTTTATCTTATTATTAGGTAACTGCTACCAAGTACAATGTACTTCTCATACAAATGACCTCCAGTCAGTAGTCTTACCTGGAGGCAGCAGTTCTAACCTGATTTAAAATGATCTCTATTTGATTGTTTATCTATGTATGCTCCTCCTTTTATCAGGAGATATTGAATGCAATCCTGGCCCTAAGATTGATGATCAACCTAGTTATCCATTGTTAATTGACTGGCTTGCACCACTGGTTGACTGGAAACCATTTGGTTTGTGTTTAGTTGGAATAAACGTTTACGACATTTTAAAAATTGAACGAGAAAATGCTACAATTGAAGACAGAAAGCTTGGGCTATACATAAAGTGGTTGTCAATCAATCCTAACGCAACATGGAGAGATGTCATTGATGCACTGACTAGAATAAAAGAGAAAAAATTAGCTCAAGTTATTAAGAATCATATAGGCAGTGATGCTCTCTCTACCTCAGATGGTAAGCTGGACTTAAATACGATAATAACCAACTATACAAAGTAGGTAATTTGCCCAGATTTGGCAATTTTGTCAATTAGACAGCCATTTGCTAAATTAACAACTAAATTAATTTCCCCTTCAAAATTTACCCCATATCGCATGCAAATGATATGTATCTCTATATTTTTAGGAGATATTGAAACTATATTCTTTTCAAGAGAAGAACAAAATGTTCAAGACTCTTTGGACGAATTGCAAGGGCAATTCTCTCACATCATGACAGAAATAAAATCTATTTTACGCAAAAAAGTAACTAATAACAGTGAACTGCTAACTAAAATATCTGATTGGGTAGAGAGTCACCTCATTTTGGAGCCTGGTAGAATGGATGATTTAAATGATATTTTCAAGAAGATCTATCTGTATTATGACTTCAGTGATTGTAGCCTGATAGTTGATATGTGTGATGAGTTTATAAGTGATCATACAGATTTACTAAAACAATTAAAGGGTTATTCATCAAAAGCTAATGCATTTCGTTCATCAAGGCCAATTATAGATCTAAAACAGAAACTATGTAAAGTGTACAGACCTTATAGAAGACAATTGGAGAATATGCCATTAATCTGTATTAAACTTCAAAATTCTTGGGATCAAATTAAAATCAAAGCATTAAAAACTCTCATTAAAAGATTACTTCCAGAAGAACTTAGACAGTCAATAATGAAATGCATCACTATTGAGGAAGCATGTGTCATTATCAAGCTACATATTCTTAATTCTACAGCTGATAGTTTAATACAATATATCAAAAGAAAGCTAGAGTTTTTACGTCTTATTGGTATATTTAGTTTATACATTGATCATCATCCTGTCCTTCAAGAAGATGAGAATGTGAGCTTCACCTTTGAACTAGCTCTCCTTGAGGCAGTCATAGCTGGTAATAATGAAGCAGTAGAGTTTCTTTTTCAACTAGAAATTGTTAATATTAATCATACTAGTGAAGGGAAGACAGCACTAATGTTAGCTAGTAAAGGAGGACATGAGGACATGGTACACAGTTTACTGTCTGCTGGAGCTGATGTTGACATTCAGGACAATAAAGGATGGACTTCACTAATGATGGCAAGTGCAAATAATCACATGTCTATCATTCACATGTTACTACAAGCTAATGCTAATCCTCACCTGAAGACATCAGATGGATTAAATGGTTTAATGATTGCAAGTTACCATGGGAACTATGAGGTGGTCCAACTCTTCATTAGTAAAGGAGTTGATTATAAATGTCAACGAGAAGATGGTTGGAATGCTTTTATGTTTGCATGTGAATATGGTCACACTCAAATAGTGGAACTGTTGCTTAATGAACAAGCTGATCCTAATGTTCAAAGGAACGACGGATTAAATGGTTTTATGCTGGCTTGTCAAAATGGTCATGCACAAATAGTCGAACTATTGCTTAATAAAAAAGTAGATCCTAATGTTCAAAAGAAAAATGGCTGGAATGCTTTTATGGTGGCATGTAAAAATGGCCAAATTCAAATAGCTGAACTGTTACTGAAAGAAAAAATTGATCCTAATGTTCAGGATAAAGATGGGTGGACTGCTTTTATGATGGCTTGTTGGAATGGTCATACTGAAATAGTTGAATTGTTGCTGAAGAAAAATGTTAATACTAATGCCAGAGAAAAAAATGGTTGGAATGCTTTTATGGTGGTTTGTGAAAATGGTCATACTCAAATAGTTGAACTGTTGCTAAAGAAAGTTGTTAAACCTAATGTTCAGAATAAAGAGGGACTGAATGGTTTTATGCTGGCTTGTCAAAATGGCCACATTGAAATAGTTAAACTTTTGCTGGACTGTAAAGAAAAAGTTAATCCTAATGCTCGGAAGATCAATGGATGGAATGGTTTCATGTTGGCTTGTGAAAATGGCCACACTGAACTAGCTAAACTGTTGCTAAAGGAAGAAGCTGGTGTCAAACATGCTATCATTTTTGCTTGTAAAGAGGGTAACACTGCATTAGTAGAAAAATTACTAATGGCAGGAGTTGATCCTAATGTACAAGACAGGAAAGGATATACACCTTTGAAGATCGCTATTGCTAAAGGCCATGTGGAAATAGCTAAGTTATTAGTACAATGGTCACCTGATTCAGAAAATCAAGCAAATGATGGTCAATCAATCTGTAGTAGTTCAAGTAGATCTTCAAGTTTCTATTCAATGACATTACTTGATCGCTGAAAATAAGTTAGTCTATCCACAGTGACTAGATACATGTACTTGTAGAAATAATATTTCCTCAAGATTTTTCTCATTATTATACATGTAAAACTTGTCCTCTTTTTTCAATTAAATGTGCTGCCTAGCTTATACATTTTATTAAGTAGTACTGAAATGATGATGGTAGATAACAAATAAACTATTAATTAAACTTTTCTGTGAATCAACACAAAACCAACTATGAACATACAATATCAAATAAGTGTACACACACACACAATACTATTACACTTGCTACATACATGTGTACACTAAATGTGTATACTAACCTGTTGTGTATATTCCCAACTGCTAGTGTTAGTGTCTGTACTAAACTCTTACTAACAGAGAAGCTAGGGTTAGTCAATACAGTGAGATCAGTTGACTCTTTATCAGTGGCTTTAGTCTTTGATAATATCTGAGAGCCTCCTACTGCAGCAGCTAACAGATCACGAGAACAAGCCTTGAGGAGAGAGAGAGAGAGAGAGAGAGAGAGAAAGAAAATAAAAATAGATAAAAGAAAGAGAATAGAATAAGGAATGTGGGAGAAGGGGGATAATTTTATCCATTGTTACTATATAAGGCTGAACTTTTGTTTGTGGTTAAAAAGTATAATTTTAATAGCAATTTGCAATGCTCATTAATTGAATACATGTATATCTTTGTGGAGCTTTAATTTCACAGTTGCATGCTAAACATGAAAGTTCTGTTCCTCAAAAGTTAAGTAGTACATGCATCTATACAGTATTAGTGATATTATTATTATTATTATTATTATTATTATTATTATTATTATTATTATTATTATTATTATTATTATTATTACTTGTAGTAATTGTGTTCCAGCTCCTCCCACTCTACTCTTACTAACAATACTAGTAATAGCCGATCCAATCACTTCCTTAAGCTCCTCCCCTCTCTCAGTTGCCATGCCAACACGATTAGCCTGCACCAGATGAAGCAAGCGTATGAGATGCTGTACATTATTGAGTTCAATGTCCTCCATCACAGAATCATCAGTTGAAATAGAAAGGGACGATAATAACTTTAATATTATTCTCCTTGAAGCCTGTGTTACAGAGGCTACTAATAACCTCTCACTTCCAGACATGCACTCATCCAGTTTAACCAGTTTCATAACACTTTGGTGATATTGCTAGCCACGCTTCATCAGTGCCTGCTAAGGGCAAGGTCTCTTCCTCCTCCTCACTGGTTGAGGAGGGTAAGAGGGTTCCCATTGGGTTCTTAGCTTTAAATTGGTAGGTGGGTGGGGCTGGGTTTGAGTCTGAGAGTCCGAGTGCTTGTAATAATGAACTCATCGAGTTTGAGACTGTAGTATCCAAACCAGCCAAATTTATATTAGGAA